ATGTTATATGTTTCCTCATTTTAACATCTAAACTTGCCACAGATGCCTCTAATTGTGCATAATTCCTATAATTCCATCATGTTTCCCTTCTCCTGTTTCCTATTAACCTACCCTCTAACCTAATCAACATTACTGTAAGAAATTACAAATTATTATTATTACGGATCATCATACAGTCAGCCAGAGGTTCACTGGATTTGGCATTTATGTCCTTATTATTATAATATATTCACAACAATATCAAATTTCAGCTGCCAATTGTTTACCTGCATATGCCTCAAGTTCTTCTCAAGAACCTAGATTGTTGTAATGTATTGGTGGAGTATTGGTGCAGATCCAAACAGTGTAGTCTTTTGTATTAACAGATGGAAATTTTCTAAATGTGCAGATTTTTAAAGTACCATCCAAGATTTTTTCATCTGGCATCCATGTGCCATTAACTACTGGGACCAGCATGCCATTTTATGCCATAATTTTTCAACTTGAATTTTCAAATCTTGATACTTTCTAAACTTTATCTTTTACTATCCCCTGATATTACTATATCAATTATCCACACATTCTTTTTTTCAACTACAATTTAAATCTGATACATGCCAAGATTTTATCAGTTTTTATTCAGAAATCCCACACTATTTTAATCTGTTCATCTTCATCTAGTTTTTCAACTAAATGTTGTGTTGTACTGTGTTCCTACCAATTTTTTTTTACTTGGCACATCATCATTTTTACAGATATTCCAGTGAATTATTTTGGCAACTGTGTAATATCATTGTGATCTTCTTGCATTAGCCAAGTATATGATCTATTGTTTCTTCTGCTTCTTTGAACAAACTGCACTTTGAATCATTTGGTGATTTTTTTTAAATCTGTCCTTGATTCCATTCATTTGAATAGCTTGCTCTTGAGCACCCAAAATCAATCCTTTCATTTCTTTTTTAATGTTCTATTTGTAGGCCATTGTCAGATTTTATCTTTATTCATTTTCCCCCATTTTTTTGTAGAAATTGAACATATAATGTTTTCCTTGCCAGCATTCTATTTTTCTGATGTTTGTGTTTTGTTTCCTGTACATTCAGTAAATTCTAATCTTTAAACAACATCAATGCTTGTTCTTAACTGCCTTTTATGTAATCAGCTAATGCCTGCTTTTCTTCTTTGACAGTTTGTTTGACTTGACGTAAGCCTCTGCCACCATTTCTCTGGGGCAGGTATAATCTATCAATGTCACTATGGAGATGTAATGCATATTAAACAGTCATAGATTTTCTTGTTTTTCAACCAAACTCTCCATTTAATAATTCCAGCAGTGTATAATATCACAGGCATGGCCCAGATATTGATGGCCTTGATGGTGTTTCCATTGTTCAATTTTGTCTTCTGCAATGTTCCCCCTTTTTGGATGCCTTCTCTACTAATATTTTTAACTTGTTCTTGCTTGACGTTATCCAACTCTAAAATTCACAGATACTTGTAGGCTTCATCCTGGTGGCTCCTGATAGTATGGCCATCATTGTATAGGTAATCTACTTTTAGATTCACAGTCTGAGACTGGTAGAAACTTAGTAATTCAGGTCCTAGCCAAGAAACTAAGAATTATTAAGGCAGTGTTAAAAATATAGGCAGTTCCAAGCAGGTGGCTATTTTTTTAAAAAAGTAGGGTGTTCTCATCTGATAAATTCAATATTTCCAAAATCAAATTTCCATTTAGAATTGCTCCAACAGTTCCAATCATGATTGGTATCACCACTGATTTCTTTTTCTATTCAGTTTAACAGAACAGAATAACAGAGTTGGAAGGGACCTTGGAGTAATAATAATAATAATAATAATAATAATAATAATAATAATAATAATAATAATAATAATAATAATAATAATAATAATAATAATAATAATAATAATAATAATAATAAAGTTGGAAGGGACCTTGGAGGTCATCTAGTCCAACCACTTGCTCAGGCAGGAAATCCTATACCATTTCAGACAAATGGCTTTCCAGTCTCTTCTTAAAAGTTCCAGTGTTGAAGCATTCATAGCTTCTTGAGGCAGGTTATTCCACTGTTAATTGTTCTAACTGTCAGAAAATTTCTCCTTAGTTCTAGGTTGCTTCCCTCTTTGGTTAGTTTCCATCTGTTGCTTCTTGTCCTGACTTTGGGTGCTTTGGAGAATAGTTTGACTCCCTCTTCTTTGTGGCAATCTTCTAGTCCAACCCCCTTCTCAAGCAGGAAACACTATACCATTTCAGACAAATGGTTGTCCAATTTTTTCTTAAAAACCTTCAGTGTTGGAGTACCCACAACTTCTGGAGGCAAGCTGTTCCACTGATTAACATTAAGAAATGGTGGATGACCATAAACAAATGTAGAATTTTTATCTGCAAGTCCCAGTATTTTGAAATTTCTTTTCAATTGTTTTTCCTTAGGACTACCATTATCCAGAATGGCAACATCAATGAAGCAGACATTCTTCTTTTCAATTACTGTTATATCAGGCATGTTATAGACAAGATGCCTGGCTATATCTTAGTCCCATAAATCCTTAACCTGCTCATTTTCCAAAACCTTCTCAGCTAAACTACCCTCCCAATAGGTTTTACTATATTTAAATGCAAACCTCCAATAGTTTCCAACAAATAATTTTGGCAATTTGATCAAGATGCTGCTTATAGACAGTTTGTGAGATTTTGCTGCAGCTACTGATCATTCTTTTCACTACAAATATGACATTTGCAATTGTTTGCTAATGTCAGTTGGCAGGTAGTTGGCAAAGCTTCTTTTTGACCCACTAAAATAAAGCCTTCAGTTTCTTTCTTTAACACTCCATGTGGGATTTATCAGTTTTTCCTTGTACATTGTTCAAGTATTGACCATGCATTGGATTATTCTTCCAATTAAGAAATCAGTTTTGAATTGTTTCTTTTTTATATTCAGCCTTTAGCCTCTTGTTTTCAAGAGCTTTTCTGAGCCGATTTTTAGCTTTTTTAATGTAGCCATTCAAGTCATGCTTTTCTCCCTCCACAGGATTTAAAATCTTTTCCTCCAGAAACTTAGGAGACTGTTGGAGAGAATGCCCATTTTTCATTAGCATATTTGTCACAATCTCTCCTACTCTACTTCTAAAAATATCAATTCAGACTTCTTTTCCATGTGAAAAAAGAGAGAGAGAAAGCATTCATTAAATATAGACCTTTAATATTTTTATTATCTTATCATTCATCAACTCAACTGTCTCTCTAGCTGGCTTTCAATAATGATATAGTTCAATAATTATTAATTATGTAGACACACATGCACATAAGAATATTACTAATTATGATTATGCAGAATTGAATAGTAGATATATTTGTATTGTATTTGGGTTGCAAAATATCAGATGACCAACTAAATAACTGTTTTCTAGTGGCTGTTAGGATTTATTTTTTTTTTGCATGTATAAAAACCCTAGGAAATGAAATGTGTTTTTCCCAAAAATATTACAACAACTTTTCTCTGAATTCCTAACCAACATAGCTACTAACCATCTCCATATGAGTTTTAGCTGCAATACATCTGGGAAGACCAACTTGGGGGACATTATTTTAAAACAGTAGCTAAGTAGGACTAATCCATTTTTTTCTTCCTTCATAATCTACCCCAGTAAAAATATTGTCTCCTTTCCCCAAATTGTAGACCTCAGACTCTGCATTACAAAAACATAAGCAGTGGGAAAGTCAAGCCACTAAAAGTTTGCTGCAATGCTTATTGTAATATAAATAAAGATTTGCTTCAAAAACATTTGGAATGCTGGCTATTGTTTTATTTTTCAGCCATAGTCATGGAAAAGATGTTAAATACATATAGATATCGGGATGTGTAAACAAGGTAAAATCTTGTTCAAATCATTAATTTGGTTTAGAAAATCAAACCAGTACAGATGTTCAGATCAAATCTTCCAAATAGATCTGCTAAAAGACACTAAAATTGGGTAAGCACTTATTCCATCTTCAAGGGCTGAGATTGAAAGGGTTCCTGATTCACTAAAGCTCAAGCGAATAGCCACAGATGATATAGTATTGATTAGAGGTGGAACCTGTAAACAAGTAGTCACTATTTTGTTTTTAAACCACTTGTCCCATCATTTATTCCACATATTGAAAGCAGCTTATAAAGATTTGGTTAACAGGACATTCCTATATATGCTTAGAGTTTTTCTTTGAAGCGAAGTCTACTGAATTCAGTGGGACCTTCTCCAGTATACCTTGATACAAGATTACAAATAACAGTAAAGTCATTATTAAGGCTACATAATTGTTAAAGAATAGATTTTTCTGTATTGTTTGATTATAGATTGTGTTTATCAATTTCTTAACAAAAAATTGACCACCAAGAACCCATCTCAGCTACTTTTCAAATGACTTGACTTCTACTAGACCCATGAAAATTTTGGAAGAAAAGGAAGGTTGGACAAGCTGAAAGAATGCCAACTGACTGAGTTAATTATCCTGTAGAAGTCAGAAAAAATAGAGGAACTCCTAACTGCAGGCAGGGGAAAAACATACACATACAGGTTGAATATTCATCAGACTTGGGTTTATGAAGGGTCATGTTATGAGTCATGTGGAAGATGATTGGCAAAGAAAAAAATCCCAGTAGTTGGACTGACTTAATGGAACAATAGGCTTAGAATTAGGGAAAGGGGTAGCTTGAAAGGAAGGAAGCAGTCGTCAAGTTACATTTACTCAGCAGGTTTCGTAACTATCCTAGCAGGCAAATACCAAGAACTGGCAAGATTCCTAGGATGAATACGCCCCTTTGGGGCGTGTGTGTGTGTGTGTGCGTATATAAGCATCCAAAATCTGAGTGGCCTAAATTATACTCTTTATTTTGTAAGAGTACCACATCTTACCTTTTTGTATATGAGGAAAACGAAGGAAGAAAACAAAGAAATCAGCAGTGGTGTTATGGGCCACCACCAGCAAGGGCTAGGGAGAAGATTGTTGCTACTGATGCTCGTGCAAATGATGACAAGTAAGTATTAATGGACTTCCTGCACAAATATTTCTCACTAATGAAAGATGGGACAGACACAGCAATATGCAATATCCGAGATTAAATGCCAAAGTTCCATCAGGGTTCAATATTTGTAGTGGATTTTCTCTTCTTTTCTTTCCTCTCCCCTCCCCTTCCCCTTCCCTTTCCTTTCCCTTCCCAGCAAAATGCAGTACTAAGCTTCTGAAAGGATTTATTAGATTTTCAACGGCACTAGTATGGAACATGTTTAAAAATTAGGTGCACAATTTATTTTCTCTGTTTTGGGAAGGTGAGGGAGAAATTTGGCTGGCAGGCTTGGGCAAATGAGGTGAGCAGCACAACAGCTAAATTTGATTTCATTACAGTTACATTTGTACTCAGTGAAAAGGTCATGTGGAACATATGATTACTCTATGGGCATGTTTTAATCATTTTCTTAATTCATCACAGTCAACACTTTAATTAGAATTGACTTCAGGAGCCCCACTTTATAGGGCAATTAGGGCGACTCAGAACTTCCTACTGTCACCATCAAGACTAAATAAGGAGGGAACCTAATTTAGGAAATAGCCATCAGACAGCATCTCCATTATAAGAAGAAGCTCAATGATATCTTAGAAGAAACTTTGTCTGGGAGGAGCTGATTTTGGGTCATGCAAAGACAGGCCTAGGGCATGAGTGAGATATCACTGGGTTATGTTGTCTGTTGGGTTATGTCAATGTTCTAATGTATGCTGTCCAAAAAGAGAGAACTTTAAAAAGAAGGTGTTTCACCCAGTGAGTCAGCCTGGCTCTCAGTTAATGAGTTTGTGACAATATGTAACATTTGTGGACCTTCTTATTGTTCTGAAGTATTTTATCTTCATTGTCATTGACAAAACCGTGTTTGAATCCTAAATCCTAAACCTAAACTTCTTGGTAGCTGTGATTTAAGCTTATGTGTGAAACCATCTATCACTGTGGGATGAAATATGATTTGTATGCTGATGATATCTAATTATACATATCTGCACCTGGAGAACTAAACAATGCTGTTTATATCCTCTCTTAATGCCTGGAATTTATGAGAGTCTGGATAGAGAACAGCAATCTTTAGTTCAACCCTGGCAAGTCTGAATAGCTTGTGTTTGGGGGCCTTCCAAATCTGGGATTTTACCATATTTTTTACTGGATGGATTTGCATTTCCCCAAACAGACTCTATGAGCAATTGGGGAATATTTTTGGGCTCACAGCTCTTGTTTAAAGAGCAGGCAGCAGGCATGGCTTAGAGGGCCTTTGCACAACTTCGTGTTGGTCATCAGTTGTGCCTGTTCCTGGATAGGCTCTACAGGTAGTCCTTGATAGTCACTTAGCAACTATTTAAAGTTATACTGTATGTATGACCCGGATTCAAATTTCCAATGGCTAGAGCCCTCCTGTGATCACATGATTGCATTTTGGGCATTTAGCAATCAACCCACATTAATGACCATTTGTGATTTGCAACATCTTTTGCTGGAAACTGGTGTTTATTTCCAAAAAGCCTGCTTGCAGACAGTGGATCCACTTAATGATCGTGACATTTGCTTAACAAGCAAAAAAGATTGTAATATCGGGCATGGTCAAGTGGTGTCCCATTGATGACCAGAAAGACTTATAATAGTAATTCTGGGCTCAGTTATGGTCCTAAGTCAAGGACTACCTGTATTCTCAGTTATTCATGCCCTGATCACAGCACGAGCACTTTACATCTCTGTTCCATGGGCTGCATCAGTTGCTAGTTTGCTTCTGGGTTCAATTCAAGATACTGAGGTTGACCTTCAAATCACTGTGTGGCCTGGTTATTTGAGGGATTACTCTCCATAGTTACATATACCCATTGCATCAGTTCCAGAATTATGTTATATATGGTATATTATTATATATTAATATATTATATTATTTATATAATATTATGTTAAGGGGCTTCATTTGAGTGGACCCAGAAGATGAGTCTTTTCTGCCATAGCACTCATCCTCTGGACTCTCTTTGCACTCCTGGTAAAATTGGCTCTGACCCATTGACTTTCTGGAAATCCCTTAAAACCTGGTTTTGTCAACAGGCTAGGGTGTCCCACAGAAATAGGGATTTTGTGGAATGGCTATATTGTATCTAAGGCCTTGAATGTATTCTCCCATGGTATTGTTTATATTTATGTTTTAATGAGTTCTTTAAATGGTTTTAATGAGTTCTTTAAACTCTGCTTCTTTGTTTTAATTGTACATCACCAAAATTACATCTGTGAGATGGTCAGCTAGATAAATGTGATAAATAAATGAAATAAATAAAATAAGCAGCTTAAATATAAGTAATACCTATACTGCAGCTTCCAAATTATTTGTATTGTATTAAAATAGCAATCTAAGCTGTAACTCTCATGATTTTATATATTTCTTTCTTTTTAGATGTTGAACCAACCTATGCTACCAGAGGTGAGCATCAGTTATTTTTGCTTGTATATTGACTTATTAGCATGCTATTGATTAGAAAGATTATCCTACTAAATACTAAAATATAGGGGATGTGAACAAATACTATTTTCACTCTAATGTTCTGTGAAGTGTAGCCATCTAGAAACTATATAATAGAAATCGTGGCAGTGCTGTATCTTATTTCAATTAAAGCTGAAAAAATATTGAATATTGCCTTTACTAGCATCAAAGTCATTTACGGAATGTTAGTCACATGGTCCACATGCACCCCAGTAGGTCATCACCAGGCTCAAGAGGTACACAAAATGTTTCCAAAAATGCATTAAAAATTGGAGGAACTTAAAGGATTCTTTGAGAAATGTGAAGAGGCTGGATCCTTAGAAAGGGAACAAGATTGGAAGAGGACACTTGGTTCTTGGCAACGTGGAATATGAAAAAAAGTGGGTGGGTGGACAAATAAAAAACAGACTTGGGATAAAGGTCTTTGGCTAAGCACAGCCAGAGGAGAGGAAAAGTGCAGTCCAAAAGGGAAATAAAAACTAAAAGAGAAAAAATGGAGGCATGGAGTAAGGAGAAACAGAGCTTGTAGTCAAGAAGAGGTTGGCCAACTTAAGAGTTTATAGATTCCTACCTTTTAGATTTCAGCTCTTTTTGGAATTCCAAGAGTAAGAATCTAAATCCAGGTAACCAGGAAATACCATGTGACCCTACAGGTACTGTTGTGTCCTGAGCCTGCAGAAGCTGCCCGGGACCAGACTGAGTGGCGCCAGCCTTGCGCGCATGCTGCTATTGGTTGGAATTGCCCGGGGATCCGAGGGTATAAATAGAGGCCTGCGTGCCTCTGCTCTTGTTGGTTGTTAGCTGTAGAGAGAGAATAAAGATCTGTTAGCAAAATGCATTGCTTCCTTCGCCATTATTCTCCGGACTTAACAGGTACAATAAACCTTTCCTTTTTGCTCAGTCTGTGGAAAACAGGGATATCTAGACCGGATTGTAGGGGGTAAAGATTCCCAGGATGGAGAGTGGCCTTGGCAAGTGAGCATCAAGTTGAATGGGGAACATCACTGTGGTGGTTCTCTTGTCACAGATCGATGGATCATCACAGCCTCACATTGTTTTAGTCTGTAAGTATGCACTCTACAACCTGACGTCTTTCAGTCCTGTTTCTTGGGAAAACAAAATTCTTGGTAGAGTTTCAAAGCAGCCTTCCAAGGTCTTCCAGTGCCTTCCCAGCCAATGGGGGAATTCACAGACAATCTTCTAAATCAGACTCCTTATTTAATAATGGCTGTCAGCCATATATGGTAGAATAGACTAAGAAAAGACACCATGTAGATCTGAAGCTATTATTAGAACAACTAAAGCTATTATTATTAGAACAATCTAAAGCTATTATTAGAACAACTATTCTAACAGAATATTACAAGTTCTGATTATGCTCCCCTTCCTGCCTCTTTTACCTTCAGGTAAATTATGGGGGCTATATGAGCCATTTTCATAAAGCACTTTTTTGCCTGGGCTCAACCCTTGTTTATCTGATCACTTGCATTGGTAATAGAACTTTTCTCTGTCCTTCAAGACCATCCTTTATATTCACTACAATCACATCTATTAAGGAAAACAAGACTGTATGTCTTCATATACTTTGCATGGAGGGGGCTTTAAGTCAATCTTCACACTTAGTGACTGCCTGGACAAGTCCTTGCACTTTTCATATATTATTAGAACAATAATATTAACTATAAAGATAAAAATGCCCTTGAACTGAACTTGACTCCTGCAGGTTTGCCATTGTTGTTTTCTGAATTTTTTTTAACTTCTCAAAATAACCTGAGATTTCATCTTTCATCCAAGAACTATCAACCAAGCCTCATTCTGCTTAGCTTCAAAGCCCAGAAAAATTCAACCACATGGTGAACTTGCAAAATTAAATGAATTGATTTCAACCTGCATTTGAATCAGTTTGAGATGAAACTGAAAATTTGATCATGACTAATTTAAATGTCATAGCTGAAGAAACAATAAAGTTTTTTACTTCTTATTTTTGCTATGTTTTGCTTATCTTTCAAAGTTTTGTTTTCATTTTCCCCATTGATTTTATTTTAATTATTTTTTCCTATAAAACTAGGATTTTTAAAAAATTAAGAAACAAATATTAATTATAAAAACACAAATCCAGTTGATCAATAGTAGAAACGTCTATTTGAAAGGATATTAAATGTATACTTCAGACAAGAACAGTATTTTTGTTTTGATGGTAGTATGTATTTTCATGTTTGTGCATTTTTTAACATATAAATTTAATTTTATCTAGATATAATTGTATATGTTCACATGTGCATACAGAGAGAGGGGGAGAGAGGGGGGGAGGGAGGGAGGGAGGGAGGGAGAGAGAGAGAGAGAGAGAGAGAGAGAGAGAGAGAGAGAGAGAGAGAGAGAGAGAGAGAGAGAGAGAGAGAGAGAGAGAGAACGATGTACATTTAAAAAAAGAAGGATTTATTTTGGACTTTGGTTCAGTGCTACAGCTCATCTTGTTTGGCACCAAAATTAATTCCATTTGTCATACACAGACTTTTTCTCTCTCTTTCTCATCTGTGTGTCTCTCAGGATCAACAATCCTTCTAATTTTACTGTACTAGTTGGAGCACTGAAACTTTCAGATCCAGGACCTCATTCAATCATAGCCTCTGTGAAGCACATTATTCTCAATCCCACCTATGAAGGGGATTCAAGGATTGGAGACATTGCCCTCGTCCAACTGGAGCAGCGACTGCCTCTGGCCCAACATATCAGCCCCATCTGTATCCCCAATGCCAACATCAACTTCCTCCCAGGACAGAAGTGTTGGGTCACTGGCTGGGGGAATATTCGAAGCAAAGGTAGGTGTGGAAAATAAAGTGAACCTATGGAACTTCTACTATATATAATATTCAGATTTGGTCTGTTTGGGCAATTTTTTGATATATGATATGATTTCATCACTTGTAGTCTCCCCAGTGTCCATGGTTCAGAAGTGGTTAAGATTAACACATTTGGAGGACATCAAAAGAGACCTTTTTTATCATGATTAGCTGTTGCTCAGTGGCCTACAACCTTTTGGGCACCAGGGACTGGTTCCATGGAGAGAGGTTTTTCTGCAGACTGGAAGGCGCATATTTTCGTGTGCTGCCTACATCCCGCAGATGGGGCTTTGCTTGTTTGTGCGGCCTGGTTTCTGGTATGCCGTGGATGGCCACTGGGTCACAGACTGGGGGTTGGGGCCCCCTGTTTTAGATTTTATTGGGTTCCTTTAAATTAAATCTCTTAATTTACTCTCCTTGCAGAAGGACGACAGAACTCTGATATACTACAAAAGCTAGAAGTTCCCATAATCAGCACAAAAAAATGCAACACTCTCTACCGCCAGGACTCTAGACAGCCCAGGGCCACAAGAGAAATTAAAGAAGATATGATATGTGCTGGCTTTGCAGCTGGACATCGGGATGCTTGCCAGGTAAGATTTTGCTCAGTTTTACTCAATAAATTAATTAGAATATACATGTACAGTTCATGAGGTTTGGGCACCTTTTTTATTTGCTATTGAGATTTAATTGCAAAACTCTATATAATAGCCAAGAGTTAGCATTATCTTTGCTGCCTTCAGGTAATTATCCTGATTTTTGAAGCCTAAATATGGTATCTTTACTCCTAGTTAACTGAAAGGCACGCACACATACACAAATATATAAAAAAAATTCTTTCCACTCTTTTGTGTCTTTTTAGTATGATAGTGAAGATAAAAACTGGATTAAGTCTTGGTCCATATCCATGTCCATATTCCATGCTAATGATAAAGAATAAACCAGTATGGATTGGTATGAACTAGTTTGGGCATATAATAGAAATACACAACCAACAATCACAGATAGCACCTCAAGTTTCTCCAAGTGCCATGACCTAATAGTAGGGTCACTCTTGGTTTTGATGTACCAAAGGTGCTTTTTCAAAAGGCAACTGGACTTTGTTTTTCCTTGAAGACATTTTGCTTCTTCAGTTCTGACTGAATGGTGGAGGATAGAAGGATTTATATTCCTTGCAGTCATCTGGTCGTTAGCATTCTTTCTGAGAATCGTTGAGGCCACTTGGAGGTTTATTCATGCTGAAAGGACTGTGTTGTTGCACTATTCAGGTGACCCCAAGGGCACAGATAAACTTCCAAGATTCTAAGAAAGAGTGCTAATGACCAGATGATTGCAAGAAATATTAATCCTTCCATCCTCAACCATTCACTCAGAACTGAAGAAGCTTCTTGGATGAGAAGTGAAACATCTTCAAGGAAAAACAAAGTCCAGTTGCCTTCTGAAAAAGCACCTTTGGGACAACCATGACCTGGATGACTGAGAATCTCCATAGAACCTTGATTGAGATGTTTCTGTAACATGCTTTTGAAGTTGGCATCATGCTTTTTCAGTAGCTACTAGGGCCATTAAAATGGAATTTCTAATTTATTGCCTTTGGGGAAATAGAAATAGGGCCAAATTTGAACTCTTATAGATTAATTGATTTTCTATGGACTTCTTCAACTTCAGGTAACCTATCTCACAGTGCACCTTTCAAAATAACAGAAAACATTTATCTCTGCTGTTATTCAGTAACATATCCATCTACATTCTTTATCCTTTGTAACACATGCAGAATTAATAATAAGCATTTGCTTCCATCATTGTCCTTGTTTATCCTTAAGATCTGGTCTTTCTGCGCAGGGTGATTCAGGTGGCCCACTGGCCTGCCGGATGGAAGATTTTTGGTTTATTGCAGGAGTAGTGAGCTGGGGAGATGGATGTGCCCAGAAGAATCGTCCTGGAGTTTATGCAAGAGTGTCGTACTACCAGCAATGGATCCAGAGTCAAATACCAGAGCTCGTAGACATGAATAGTAAAGACCATTGGTCAAGGCTGAATTACAATAGTACCAGTAACAGTGCCTCTACTGGAAGTTTCAATTTCATCTCCCTCTCTGCTGCCACTATTGTTTTGCTGCTATTATCTCAACAAACTCTTTAAAAAAGGGAAGCAGTTATTTCTCCTGGGAAGATGTTTGTGTTGATCTTTTCTACTCCATTTTGGAAGAAAACAGAACTTATCAGAAATGTCAATGGGGAAACAAAGGATTTCAATTTTTTCCCTTCCTTGCTGTGATGAAGAATTCACTCCAGCATACCATCTTTGGTGCTGATACTCATGAAATTGATGGATATCCAAAAGCTGAGAGTATTCTCCATTCCAGAAATACTATTTGAACTAGAGGACTGGAATAGAGGAACCCACCACTGGGAACTTTTCCAATTCCTGGAACAGATTCAGTAATAGATATGGCAGCCTGTCTATTAGCTCTGGTTATATTATGGCTCATTTGTTTGGTTTATATCCATCCAAGAACTGCATTTCAAGCCTAGGCAACTTAATAAATGGTGTTGTTATCATCATTGTTGTAATTGCTAGAGGGAAGAAGAGCCAGTCTACACCCACTACTATATGGGTGCTTCAGGGTTGGGTTCTCTCTCCCCTTCTAGTTAACATTTACATGAGGCCACTGGGTGAGGTGGTCCATTGGCATAGGGGGCAGATATCATCATTATACAGATGACACCCAGCTTTATATGTCTACCTCAAGCTCTTTGAGTGATGTATGGGCATCCTATCTCAGTGTCTGGAAGTTTCAGGGAAATAGATGAGGATTGCCGTAGCCCAGACAGATCTGCAACATAGTGCTCCTCCTAAACTCATGGCTCCTGTTCAAAGAGCAAGTGGTAGCCATGGTTAGAAGAGCTTTTGCACACCTTCAGGTTGTGCACCAGTTGCACCCATTCCTAGGCCCTGTTCACAATTGCTCATGTCTTTGTAACCTTTTGTTTAGACTACTGCAATGCACTCTACATGGGGTTGTCCCAAAGAGCATTCAGAAACTTCAACTGATGCAGAATATGTTTGTGCAAGAACTAAATGGTACCAGGTATAAGGCATACATAACATAACATCATTGCTGTGTGAGCTGCGTTGGTTACCAGTATTTTTCTGGGTGCAATTGAAGGTGCTAGTTGTCACTTTTAAAGCCCTATATGGCTTGGAACCAGGTTATCTGAGGGACCGCCTTTTTCAAAGGGTCTCTACCCATCCAATTCGATCTAGTAGATTGGGCATGCTGCATATCCTGTCAGCCAGAAAATGTCAGTTTGTGGGATTAGAAGATGGGCCTTTTCTGCAGTAGTGTCTGCCCTTGGAAGTTAGAATGGCCCCAACCCTGTTATTCTTTTGTAAGGCTTTAAAAAACTGGTTATGTTCCCGAGCCTGGGGCACTGAATGTGTTAAGGACCCCATTTCTTGGCTTAATTGTTAACTGGCCAAGTATCTTAGCTGCTGCACATATTTATTTTGGGTGTTTTTTATTGTTTTTATTTTTTTAGAATGTTTTTATTGTTTCAATTGTAGTAATTTTTTAATTGTAAACCACCCAGTCATTGACTGAGATGGGCAACTAAATAAATTGAATAGATAGATAGATAGATAGATAGATAGATAGATAGATAGATAGATAGATAGATAGATAGATAGATAGATAGATAGATAGATAGATAGATAGATAGATAGATAGATAGATAAACAAATAAATAAATGGATGAATGAATGAATGAATGAATGAATGAATGAATGAATGAATGAATGAATGAATGAATGAATGAATGAATATTACTAGGCAGACTGATCAGTGGGGTATCACAGTTGAAAACAGATGACAAAATGCATGCGTATATATTGCAACTCAAGAGGATCTGATAGCTGAAGCAAGAAAAGTAATCATCTCTTCCTCCATTGTTCTCTTTTGCACACCTTTTTCCTTAGGTCAAGAGTTCTACCTCATTACCCTTCAACAGGTTAGATGGTTAGGCAAACTATGAGCTTCACATTGATTGTGGACCTTCTTGTGAGAGGCCCATAGCAGATGCCTATGCAGCAGTGTACCTAACATGTAATAAAGGAACTAATAAAGGAGAATATTTGTTGCTCAGGGTTGAAATGAGGAATCTTTGATGCTCTCTGAGCTTGGTTGTTTTCTTGCAGACATTTCATTAACCAAACTAGGTAACATCATCAGTGCTAGTGATAGCACTGGTTAGGAGGTTAGGAGAGCCTTTGCATACCTTCAGGTGGTGTGCCAATTGTGCCAATTCCTGGACCGGGAGGCCCTGCTCACAGTAACTCGTTCCCTTGTAACCTCTTGCTTGTTTAGACAACTGCAATGCACTCTACATGGGGCTGCCCCAAAGAGCATTCAAGAGGAATAACTTCATTTCTCCTACTGGTAGACCTGGTTTTACTTGGCACTTGTGGCAGTGAAGTCTTATTGTCAAAGACCACTAGGATGCAATGCTGCAGTACTTTTGCTTTCCTGTGAGGGTCACCCAACATCTTGGGGAGAAATTTAGATCAGAAAGTCAGTGTAGAAGAAAAGGATAATTCCAAGCAACTTTGAGATTAGGAGAAATCCAACAGAAAATTCCATTCAGAAATTTCTCAACATTGTTAGTGATTTAAAACCATAGTCGGCAAAAGATTGATCAACATCTACTAGTAGCACACTGGTCATTTTCCTTTTTTAAAAAAAATATATTAATTTAAGCTAAATTATATTGCTGGAATCAAGAAAGTTCAGAGTGAAATGGAAGCAGAATTTAATGTGTGAAAAGGTTGATGTAAATGTGCTCAGGAAATTTTTATTCCAGCAGTTATGCCAGGTATGGCCATTCATTGTCCACCTATATTATTTTTGCACTTCCCAGAATGCCTAGGATTTTCCATTAAAATGTGCCATTAAAAAAATACTGAATTCTAAATTTTCTGAAGGCGTGTTTTTGTGGTGTTTCTTGGAGCCATGGTGGCACAGTGGTTAGAATGCAATACTGCAGGCTAACTCACTGCTCATTCCAGGAGTTCGATTCTGAACAGCTCAAGGTTGACTCAGAATTCCATCCTTCCAAGGTCAGTAAAATGAGGACCCAGATTTTTGGGTGCAATATTCTGACTCTGTAAACCTCTTAGTGAGGGCTGTAAAGCACTGTGAAATGGCATATAACTCTTACGTGCTATTGCTATTGTGTACTAAATTAGAGGGAAAAAGCAAGAAGTGAACTTCTTAGAACAATGTTTCTCAACCTAGGCAATTAGAAGATGTGTGGATTTCAATTCCCAGAATTCCAAACACTCAGCAAGGAAGGTTGTGGGATTCTGGGAGTTGAAGTCTTCATATATTCAAGCTGCCGAGGTTGAGAAACACTGCCTTAGAACATAAAAACAGAAGAAGCATCTTGCTGGATCGAACTCCTGGTCCATCCAATCCAGCAGCCTGTTCTTACAGTGGCTATCCAATTGCATAAAGAAGCTCAGTAGTCTTCCAGCAGATAATCTTCAAAGCAGTCCCACTGCCATCAAGGCTAATAGCCATTGATCCCCATGACTCTCATGAATTCATGAAACCCTTTTTGAAGCAGCCAAGTTCATAGTCAGCATCACATCTTACTCTTGCTTACTACAGGACAAGATAAATTAGGATGGAGTTTGGGTGGCTGGACAAAACAAAATTTAAAAAAAATATCCTGAGCAACTCCATCCCTTATCTTGACCTCCAAGCTACAGCTAAGCATTACAATTTACACTTTGCTTGAATGACAGTTTACTTAGTCCTGCTTTAAATATGTATTTACTGTTCTCTTCTCTGCCTTTGAAAATTGAGAGGGAACAGATGCTTCTTCCAAAGCTAAATTGCTGCTGGCACAAACATTCTTAGCAGGGTTGTTTTATGAAATGACTTGAAGGTTTACTGAATCCACAACAGGGTGCTACATATTTAAGACTTATGTATTGTTTGCAGTATAGCGAGTACATGGTTTTTCTAAGATGTATGTTATTTCTCAGCCATGTTTTTCCATGTTTAATAGCACTGCTTCTGGAATGCAGCTCCCACACATCTTTCAATGGTCTCCCTCCCTCTGTTCCTTCTTTCCCTCCTTCCTTCCTCCCTTCTTTCCTTCCTTCCTTCCTTCCTCCCTTCCTTCCCCATAAGCTCCTTGAACTTGGACACCCAGATGGAACATAATTTCTCTCTGATTTGAGACAACTCTCCTTTGGGGTGAACCAAAGATATTGGAATGGGAATAATGCCACTCTGTTAGCTGTTATTACCTAATAACTTCAAATGGTGAGAGTTGAAAACAGGCTTGTGACAATCTCCTGGAAAATATTGCGTTTTTTTTTAATTCTGTGTTTGAATACACAGAAAGTTAAGCTCATCACCCATCCACATTGCTTCAATACCCGCCCTTTCTCACTTCCTCACTCTTTCTTTCCTTCAATCCAACCAATGTACTTTACAGTCTTACAATAGGAGTCATTAATCTTCAGATTTGGGTCTGATGGCAGCTTCTGGGTGTAAAGTTGAAACTCGTCTAACAGGATGAAACTCAATGACTGTGCATGACTTTTCTGTCGTTTTCAAGGCAAAACTACTCAACTGAAGCTAGACTGACTTATGAATAATATCTACCACTCTGCCATAAGTTGTGGTCCTTGGGAAATGGCACAAAATTTAAATCACCAATCTTTTCTCTTAAGGACAGGCAATATTTCAACCAGGGTTATTTCTTTCGGTCTCTGAGTGGTGGAAAGATGATAATGATGGTATCATTATATCATCCAAATTAACAAGGCTGGAATTTTTGGTTCTTCTTTTTCTGGACTCTAAACTTGGTTGGTTTTTTGCAGATGTTTCATTACCAGACTAAGTAACACTTTCAGTGCACTGAAGCATGAAAGATGTTACCTAGTCTAGTAACAAAACATCTACAAGCAACACCAAAGCTCAGATAACACCAAGGACTCCACAGTTCAACCATGAGATACATATATTCTCTTCTCTTGATACTGTATGCCTTTTTTATTATTTTTATTTTGGGATTCAAGGAATATTTGTAAAATATCTATCAGAACCTTATATTTTCCTGCTGGATTGGAGGAATTAAGTTGTACTATCAAAATTTAGCACTCTATCACAAATTTCAACATTCCACTTTCAGGGTTATGACTCCAAACAAAGGGACTGATCTACATTCATTATGTGGACTGCTGACTACCCATCCCAGCCTTATATAGGCATTGAATTGATTTTGTTATCATTCCAAACATTTTTAAAAACAAAGATAACTTCAATGCTTTCTGTTTTAACCGTCTTTTTTCATAGGGTGTGTCTGCATGACACACTAAACCCAAACATCTAGTGAACAAATGTCCCTTTAGCCAAAAACTGAGGCTTATGCTATCATTTCATCCACAAATCATATTCTGGATTTGAAAATGCTATAGTTTGTATCCTATAAATAACTTTAGTTACCTTGTTTGGCTGGAATCTACTTGCACTTCAAATGACATAAAATAGTAAACTTAAACTATGGTTTAAAAACCTGCACATGATGGGGGGAATAAAATCTCAGTGCACTTTCATTCATTCATCAGATTGTGGAATTGGCATGTCTTGTTCACTCAAAAACCTGCTTTCGAAGCCTTCCCATTTCCAGCTTTGTGGAGGGAAATACTTCATTGATCTGAAAAGCCAACCAGGCTTTTACTTGGAATTAGGGCTTCCAGGAAGTCCCACGTTTGTTGGCTAAAGTGAGAAGTTAAAAAGAAAATAGCTAATAATTTTCATAAGTCTGCAAAGAAAATTGCACATATCTAATTACAAAGTAATTATTTATTTTCCTCACAAAGAAATTGAAAACATGAATGTACCATGAATATACCAGGAACCTGGCAAAATTTCTGTTCATCTGCACTTTCTTCTTAAAAGCATATTTTCTCATTATAAAAGCATGTTTTATTTCCCATAAAACACAACCAGTGCTAAGAAAACATACCTGAAATACTTAGCCAAATGTGTTGCTCAAAAGTGCAATAAGATTTGGTTCTGTGGTTCTTTGTAGTACTTTCTCCAGTTATTATTTAAATTATTCCTAACAAGGATGCTATATGAAGAGGAGATGAAGGAAAGTCTGTTCCAATCCCAGGCATAGATTTTAAAAAGTAAAATCAATTGGGAAGAAGGCCCAGCCTTCTTCCCAATTGATACACACACTTATTTGCCAATATTTATAATACTTCCAGAGAAATGTCAATATGTTGTCAACTACTGTAAAAACCATTGCGGATCTATTTCATTTTTTTCCCTTCTTAATGTATTATTTGGGGGAAAGTTTGGGAAGATAACCAAAAGCACTTCCCTGCCTGCATTTTCAAGTGGTATGATCTACCTACCATTCTACAACATCAGGATCCTATAATTTCATTCAACTGTATGGGTCGATCAAGTCTAAGGCTAAGTCAGAGGTAGGCACTGTGGCAAAATGATATTCCTGAGATGACGAGTTCTAGTCTGAAACAGGGTTTCAATTTAGCTGTTTTACTACATCACTTCCCCCACCATTTCAAATTTAGAACAGAACAGAACTGTTGGGTTAGAGCAGTGCCAGCCAAATGCTACCTAGAACCCTTTATGAAAGTTCAATATGACTTGAATAGAGCAGCTTTTCCATATTTTCTTTTCTTGTTATCTTTGGAAAGAAGCTCTTGATAAAAAGTAGCACTTTGGTACATGAGGTGGTAAGTACATATACATATATATATATATGTAGGTCTTTGGTTATTCAGGTTTTCTCCCACGTAAAATTGGAAGTGTCTTGGCGATGCTTCGATGAAGTCTCATTCGTCATCTTCAGGCTGGTGTTTTCAGCTTCGTGCTTCTAGGAGTAATGTGTGATCGCAGCTGTTTCTTCCTTTTAACTGCCAGTGGGGTTTGAACTGATTGGGTGGGAGCTTGGCTGTGTTTTGATTGGGTGGAGGTGTGTTCTGATTGGTTAAGGAGCTTGGCTGTGCTCTGATTGGATGGGGGGTTGGCTGTGCTCTGATTGGCTGGGGGAGTGTTCTGTTTGGGCGGGGGCTTTGTTGTGCTCGGGTTAGTCTGAGTTGCAGGGGGATTTGAGATGGTGAGCTTCGTTGCTGTTGTTTGGTGATCACACATTACTCCTAGAAGCACGAAGCTAAAAACACCAGCCTGAAGATGACGAATGAGACTTCGTCGAAACGTCGCCAAGACACTTCCAATTTTATGCGGGAGAAAACCTAAATAACCAAAGACCTACATATATATATGTGTGTGTGTGTGTGTGTGTGTGTAGGTTCTCCCTTAATTCTTTGTTAGCAATCCAAATTTTGAAATATATATATATATTCTTGAAGTTATATGAATGGCACCTTTAAGGAACAAATATGAGAGCCCTTGTTCTCCTTCAGAGAGTTAAATGAACAGAACAAAATGAAGAAATCTCACTCTCTCACCAATAAAATATTTCTCCACATCTCTAATGCCCTAGAAATCCATAATATTCTATGGTCGAACTTGATGGAAGATTAAAAAAAACTCCACATTTCATAATCCATTCATTTGGGAGAAATGGAGTTCTAATGCCGCATCAAGGATAGAAGCTGCTGGTGTTTCCATAAACCTCCATAAATGTCTTTTTAGTGGAAGATGCTGCTGTTGCAAGGAGACTTTGGTTAAGACTTATTTTCCCATAAAATCTCAGTTTGGTAAATAAAAGCACCAGAACATCCGATTCCCAATCTGTCTCAGAAAATGATGATTAAACAGGAGATCAGAAGCAGGACGAAACTGAAATTTTTGAGGACTTGGCTTGAGGCAGCTTGAGATGAAGTAACTCGGTAATAAGTGACATTCACAAGACCAAATTGCACCTGAGGGAAATGAGTCTGAATCCAGTCTTGATAAAAATTAACACGGGTGTAAACTCCTGGGCGGTTGGAGAGGCCACAAAGATCACCCCAGCTTACAATGCCTGCAACAAACCAGGCACCATCTGCTTGGCAGACTAATGGACCTCCAGAGTCACCCTGATTGAGAAAAGTAAGCAATAAGAGTTTATGTTATCCCTCTGTCCATAACACAGATTATTTGTTCTCTTTTATGCACAGCCTGAACAGCATAAAAACACTATAATGCTACAATTTTACCAAGACAATCCATCACTTTTCTGGTAGAATAGGCTGAGCTAAAATTGCTATTGGAGAACACAATCAGCAAATTTTTGTTTTACTCTAAATACATTTGCTAAAATGCCAGTTCTGATACTTCCTGGAATAGTCATGTGTCTCATAGCATCACAGAGCCACACAGCCATTCCAAGAAGTGCAGAAAAGAAACAGAAATCTCTGTTGAGAATGCCATAGTGCTATGAGAAAAGAAAGAAAAATCCAAGAGCCTCAACCACTTCAAAGGAAGGTGCATCATGACTAATAGGACAAGTTGGTTAGGCATCTTAGCACGCTCTTATGGTTTTTCTATCCTTGAGTGTTCTTTGAAAACGCCATTCCATACTACGTCCATCAACATCCTCTCTTACCAAGCAAGCATCTTTTTTCCCCTCAGCATAGCCAGCACAGAACATGTCATCCTGGATCTCTCTGATGGTGGGACTAATATTCGTACCAATGTGAAAGAGTGCATCACAGGTCATGGTATCTATCAGTGGCAACTGGACCTGCTGCAATGTTTTAGGATCTCCCAGAGTGGCTTGAAGAAAAAAATACATCATTATTGTTAAGGTTATTACTATTATTTTCCCCTGCTCAGTCGCATCCAATTCTGAGACAGCCTGGACAAATTTCTGCAGTTTTCTTGCAAAGATTTGCCAAAAGTAGTTTGCCATTGTCTCCTTCCTCAGGCTGTGAGAAAATGACTGGCACAAGATAATCCAGCTGGCTTTTTGCCTAAGGCAGGACTAGAATGCACAGTGTTCCCTTTTCTTGTCAGATACCTTAATTAATTGCTCTGGTTCTTAGTACAATATAGGAAGGTTGGTAGCAATGGCTCTGAGTGGGAACAGGGTACAATATAGCTGACAAGATTTCTTTAGTGAAAGATACATTTTCCACAGGATCAAAAATAAGTTTGAGAAATTAAGCAGTTTACAATAAGTGACATACTGCCAAGAAAGGATATATATTCCATTTCAAAGAATGGCCACACTTCGTTTTAGTCTCCCCAACCCAGGTCCTAGCCATCACCTCACCAGACTGCCACCTTTCAGAGCAAAAGCATCTACAGGATCCACCACTTTTATCAAAATGACAAAAGCCATGTTGCTCATCATGTTGAAAGCTCTACCCCTTTTATATATGTAGATCAGAAAAGCTTTTCAACCTTTTCACCCATTGTACAACTTTTAGGATATGGCAATATCTGAGAACCACCAGTCGCCTAGCAAGGTGTCAAAAACTTGATGACCCCCCCGCCAAAAAAGGAAAAAAGTGATAAAGTACAGGTAGTCCTCGACTTACAACAGTTCGCTTAGTGACTGTTCGAAGTTACAATGGCACTGAAAAAAGTGCCCCCCAAGCCACAGCCGAGCAAGACATCTGCTTGTCCACCCAGTGGCGCTCTTCCTCCTGTCTGAGGTTTTCATTGTTGTGAGCATTTCTGTTGAATATTGGCAGCGGGGGTGGGTGGAGGTGTTTGGTTTTTATTCCCCCCATCTGCTGGGTGGTTGCAGCAAGTTTTGGTCACTTCACATGACCCTGGGACACTGTGACCATCATAAATATGAATCAGTTACCAAGCATCTGAATGTAAATCACAAGACCTTGGAGATGCTGCAACATTCCAGCTGATCGGCACTTCTTCTGGGCTCAGCAGAAGTGCCAGGATCAGTGCTGCTTTCCAGCTGATTGGTGCTTCTTCAGGGCTCAGCAGAAGCACCAGGATCAGCACCGAGCTCCAACTGGAACCTGGCGCTGATCCTGGCACTTCCACTGACAGCCCCGAAAAAGCGCCAATCAGCTGGAAAGCGGCACTGATCCTGGTGCTTCTGCTGAGCCCTGACAGCCCTGCAGCTCCAGCCATCTCTCGCTCAGGCTTGTGCGGTGCTGCCACCGGTTCAGCTCATTCCCCTCCCCGGCTACCACTTTTCTAGGATGGTCGTGTACCACCTACCAGGTGCCAATGTACCACAGGTGTACCTACCAGGTGCCAATGTACCACAACCATACCACTGGTTGAAAAGCCCTGATGTAGATGATATCATAACACTCTATATTTTCAATGTTACTTTTGTCATTTGCTGTCCTGCAGCCATTGTTTCAAATTCTTGAAATTTTCATATGTAAGGAGCACAGGATCCCACTTGGTCTTTGAGCATCATAACAAGGGCATCACCTTGGCATAGAGCCATTTAAAAAAAAAACCTCACTCAATTTAATGTAAAGTAGTGGCTAGGGAATTCTGAGAATTGAAGTCCACCATCTTAGAGTTGCCAAGGTTGAAAATGTTAGATTTGACTAAGAAACTTCTATTGCTGCTGTGAAAGGGACATGGACAGGGCCATCTATTTTTTTTATTTTAGTTCATTGCTTAATGTAGAGAAAAAGAAGAAGATATCCTAATCCAAACAAGCAGAAAAAAGTAAACAAAATTTAAGATCAATGCCAATATCTGTGTATGTATTTCCAAATTCCACTAATACTAATGATGGGGTTATCATTGAAAAAAACATGTCTACATAAGCTTTGTGCCAATTTCCACTTCCAAATATTGAAATCCCATTAAATTCTTCTAAACCAAAAACCTCCCTCTTAACCACATGCTGCTTATGATCTTATTTAACTACAATATTTATTTATTGTAGGAATTCTTATTTTATGCCATCCTTTGAAATGCTGAGTGGTCTTGGTATAAAGGAAACACAAACAACATCAAATTTTAAAAAGACTCTTAGCTAGTTCCCAAATACCATGCAATGTATCCATTTTGTTCACACTTCCTATCTTGGTTCATCTCATTAGAGTCCAAGAGCTCTCTGTGCTAAAGAACAACCACTCTCTCTTTTTCAGGTCTTTATCCCACAACTTTCCTCACCTCCATATGCAGGTGATCCCCACCCTGTCACCCAGCAAAGGGTGTCCTTTGAAAAATGGACTTTGGCATCAGGGAGACAGGCTGGAAGGATACTTTGGGTGAAATGGACAGGTTGCTCTAGCTGAGCCAGAGCTATGTCCCCGCTGGATCCCTCTCTGACATAGTTCTCATGCACAGCCACTTGGGACAATCTCAGCCACACAGTATTTGGTTCTGGATGCAAAAGCTGGTAGTTTCCCAGATTGGCTTGGTATTTAGAGAGTTCTGCATTCCTGTTGGGAACCACAATTAAGAATTAGACCTTTCAGGAAAATTCTGTAGCACTTGTCTTCAATTATGCATTTCAGTTATCTGGCTCAATTTTTGAGGGTGGAGAATTTCACATCCCTCCTGGTTATCCAAGGTTTCCCAGAGACAGTCATTATTCCAATAGAAGAGAATATATGTAGCTCAAGGTTGAATTGTGAAATCCTTTCTGCTCTGAGCTGGGTTGTTTGTTCACTGTACCTCAGACATTCCTAATCAGGCTCTCTACTAAATATGTTGGCCTACAATTTTCAGATTTTCCCAGAATTGTGTCCAACACTTCTGGCTGAAGCAGGATGGCATACACAATGAGCAGATCTCACAGAACCAGCAGCTTTCTTTCTGAACAAAATGAAGAACCTCATATGCTGCTTTTATTTGCCTCCAGTAGATGGCTGCTTATGCAGCTAGAGCTGAAGCCAGTGCAATTCCACACCTTCTCTCACTTACTCACTTAGGGAAGCAATGGGCTGCCGTCAGTAACCATTCAGAGCTGATGAGGGTCGCTCCACAGACATGCTTCTCTTCATACTGGAGGCTGGCTTGCCATGGCCAAGCATTCAGAGAGGCATCTTCTCCCCCCACAATACGATTCTGATTCACTACCTGCCCACAGACTGGCAAAAAAGGCATGTGTGCAAAAGAGAGAGAGAGAAAAAAAAACTTAAAAGTTGTAGAAAATGGAAGATGGCCTCACAATTATACGGCTTTCTGGATTGTAAATTATCAGAAAAATAAAGGTCAAGAGATACCCAAATTCTTCTTGTTCACCAAACTATAACTTGAAAATGGAAAACCTTTCGGCCATTTATTTACAATTTGGGGAGCGATGGTGATTACATCACAGGAAGTCCTCAACTTACAACCACAATTGAGTCCAGAACAATGGTCATAATAATTACTGTTGTAAGTCAAGGCATCACAAGACAGTTGTGATATTGTGGTAGTTGTTAGCTGAATGCTATGGTCCTTAAGTGAAAACTATGGTTATTAAGTGAACACCATGGTTGTTAAGCAAATCTATTTTATAGAATGGCTGATTTATTTTGCCAGAAACCAGAAGTAAAAACCAGAAACTGGCATAATTATATGTTTTCTTTTTTCTTAATTCTCTTTTTCTTACTTTCTTTTATTTTGTTTTTAATTGAAAAATTCTAATAAACAATATGTTACAAGTTAAAAAGAGATGGTGTTGATTTATTCCATTTTGTCAGGTTTGACCCCTGATAAATCCCCCTTTCCTTACCAGCTCTCCCACTGTTCTGCCAGCACCCAGTCCATGTCAGGATTGGAGTATGGGCCCCTAATCTCAATTTTGGGGTCCCCACACGACACCCACAAAGTATGCAAAATAATTAATTTTCCGTGCTATGACTCTGAGACACCCTCCCCTCAAGTTGTTTGGAGCCTTCCTTATCTATTTGTTCCCAAGAATAGGCTACCAGATTGAGAAGATTCCTGTGTTATAGGCAGAACATAATAAAGTAGTTAGTTTGAACTCTACACATGTGCGCCTGGTTGTTCCCGCCTGACAAATCCTGACAACAAAGAAGTGTTTAATTTTTTTTCAGCACTAATCCCCCTATGATGTAATCACGTCACTAGCCTCTCCCTCTCCAAGCTTTAGAAGCTGCAAAATGTTGAAGGTTAACACATGACTGCATGGCTGGACAAAACACCATCTACCCACTTTTGAAACAAAATATACACCTTTAATGAAGAAGATATGGCAGACAGTTGTTCGTTTGTCAGGCAGAAAAGAGCATAAGTCTTTTGCTAACACAAAACAGCAGTTTATACTTGGCAAAAACAGGAACAATGAGCAGAAGGGAAGCAAGCACAGATGTTAAGCCTGAGAGAGCCCACATGTGTTAATTCAGAAAGATTTCTATATTAAATTGTTTTCAGTGAAGTTGTTCTTACAATGCCTTCCTTGTGGAGCTGCTATATCTTCCCTGCCTTTTATAGAGTTCAATGTAGGAAACCCATGTACAATTGAGGAAGTCCCTCCCCTTGTTACTTGTTTGAGTGCCACTTACCTGTTTGAATACCATTTTCATCATCTCCTAGAAAGAAATGAGGAAGCAAAAGAAATGGGCATGTAATTTTCTGACTAAGTAAATCTGAGATTAGAATGAACAAAAAAACCCGAAATAAACAAGCCTGTCTTTTAATATGAAACTGAAGGCTGTGACTTTGATTATAAAACTTAAGTAACCAATTACAAATCTGTCAAACTTTTCAATATGATTATTTGTTTGTTAATCACGGAAGTGTCCATGGGAGGAGTCAAAAAATACAGGATTGTGAGTACAGCCACATAACTCAAGCTTTGGAGGGGGGTTGTTACATGGGTTGCATGTATGATCTATATGAAAAAAGAACAGAGCTCCAATCATGCAGTCATCGCTGTCACCCCCAAGTATTTTAACCCTCCAGTGAGTGACCCTAGTTAATTACTTTGTAAATAAGGTGCCAAATTAAATAGGAGTGGGAAGCCCATGGGGCTGAATACAGACCTCATAAATTTGTGTAAATGTGTGGATGTGATATAGTTCCAAAACTTCTCAAATCTCTGCATTAAAACTGAGTAGCAAGAGACAATTTTGAACCCTCTACCAAAATAGATCATTCGAGCCCCATTTAAAATAGCACACCTCCTTTGCTATTTGAAAATTCTAAACATGGAAGACAGCAAAAAAGCTTGGCTGTAACCCTCAGTTGACAATGCTGTGTCACCACCATGCCCCATCACAAATAGTTCCCTGTCTCTGAGGCAGGGGCAGAGGCAAGGAGGTATTTTCACATTCCAATCCTAATTATACTGTATATAAAGTGGGTAGTGGGAATAATATGCAAATAAAAGGGAAGGTTCAAAACTGTTAGCCCATTTTAGGGGTATTTGGAGGCTAAGGGTTGAAATACATGAAAGAATGAAATGTCCTCCAGGGGCTTAAAGTATCTCTTCCATATTTTTAAAGAAAAGGGTAAATTTCCATTGATCCAAAATTTCCATCTACCCTTGCAATTCTTTGGGACCAAAAAATACCCAAAATGATGTAAATGATGTAAAACTTAACTGCCACTTTTTTGTGTGTGCCTCCAAGTCAGTATTGATTGCAAAAAGTTTCTCACTTCTACCCTGCAGTAGCAGTAGTCAACAGTAGTATTAGAAGTAGCAAATAAATATGAGAAAACCTGCTGGACCTGCTTCGTGTTTTATCAGTCTTGCACCTGGAAGCCAATAGGCACTTCCTAGCAAAAGATGTTTATGGCATGCTAAGGGAAAGCTTTAAAAAATTAAAAATAGTGCGTCATAAGGCAACCATGCTGTGTGTTTTTTTTCCTAATTCCAGTCAAAAAAATTTGAAGCATTTCTTTTTTTGTCATTTTTGGTACCAGGGCAGGCAAGAAGCATATTTCTAAATGGTCCTAGGTAATTTATATAATAAAGATCAGATAGATAGATAGATAGATAGATAGATAGATAGATAGATAGATAGATAGATAGATAGATAGATAGATAGATAGATAGATAGATAGATAGATAGATAGATAGATAGATAGATAGATAGATAGATAGATAGATAGATAGATAGATAGATAGATAGATAGATAGACAGACAGACAGACAGACAGACAGACAGACAGGCAGGCAGGCAGGCAGGCAGGCAGGCAGGCAGGCAGGCAGGCAGGCAGGCAGGCAGACAGACAGACAGACAGACAGATAGATACACATACACATACACATACACATACACATACACATACTACACATACTACACATACACAGAGCAACAAAAAGCTCTAAACTTTCAAAGGGTTCCAAGAAGGATTTAAACTTTAACATTGTCTAAACTGTATTAAAGGAAAGCGCCTCTAAGATTGGCCTCTATGGGTTGAGAAGTTTCCCTGGTGTTCTAGCTAAAGTTTCAAGCAGTTTGTTAAGAATTAAATGTAATTTATATTCCAATGTAGTATATTATGTCTATCATAAGATTTTACCATCAAATTTCAGCAGCAGTATTTAGGGGACCTTATGAGGGGGCACAAAAGGGATGCTGAGGGCCACACACAGACCCTCCAGCTCTTGGCTACCCATCCCTGGTATATTAGTGGCCACCTTAACATCTGCTTTCATCTCATTGACCTTGTCATGGCAAGTTGGTGAAAGGTCAATATACAGGCTTAAATCCCACCTGTAAATCCCAATGTAAATGAGCTCCTTCCTTCATTTGCTTTCAGAAGGCCAGAAAATCTATACTTCTGTACTTTTAATGCTCCATGTTTAGCTATGTCTTTTCCTATTTCATGCTCTTCTGAACTTTGCACCTATTTTGTTCCTCTATTGCTTAAGTTAGCAAAAGCTGGTTGAGATTAAGTTTCAGTATTGTAGATATGAGAAAGTGAGGAAGGTGATCTTGACGGGGACCATTACCTAGACAAAGGGGTCTAAAAAAAGGTAACATTAGGAATCACTCATACAAGCACCTCTTTGATTCCCTGAGATATAACAAAGGGGAATACAGCAAAATCAGAGTTGCAAGGTTATGTTATTATAACCAATTTCAATAAAAATAGTTCTTTTTATGCCTGTGGCATAGATTTCCTGGCATAGTCTACATAGAGGGGCTGGCATGTATTACACATCACCCTTAGGTAAGCTGCAAAGTAGAATATGTAAAATCTTCCTTGATTCAAATCACACATCCATGTCATTTTCTTGGCAATGGCACAAAGTAGACTAATTTTCTTCTTCTAGGATGCATTTTGCCCTTCTTCTCTGTCCATCCTATAGCTCTATATTTTGTGGTGGTTCCCCAAACCAAGCTCAAAGAAGGTCCTGGTTTGCCTTTTTAAGATTAGCTAAGTGCTGTCTATGAGTAAGTAACAGCCTTACAATGATCTCTTCATGATCTCTTTCAACATTTTTGAATGGTTTCTCTGAAATCATCTACCATCACCCCAATAGCTAATAGGCTTCATAACAAAGTTTGGCTATGCCAATAGTTATCTGTAAAATATTTTGGCACTGATTAGATCAATTTGATCTTCCCCAAACGCTTAATTATAGCAACAGAAGCATGCATATCACAGAGAAAGCAAGTTATTTTCATAGCAGTTACAACCAAAAAAGGTGCATGTTTGCTGCAAAGTGAACACATAAGCAGCTATTTAGGTTAAGTCAATACTCACTGTTTGGAATTCCATTTTTCAGAGCACCTGTACAAAGAAGGAAAACAAAAAACATACGTAAAGTTGGAGAACCAGACAGTTAGGTAAAAGAACCAGGAAGAAAAACTAAACTGTTATGAAAAATAACGTGCCAATACTTTACAAAGTATCTTTTAGGTGGTGACAGGCTGAGGAATTGCAGTTAACACCTATCTGCCTGAGAACTGATGTCAAACAAAGGGGGGGGGGGAGAATCACTCATTTAGCTTGTTATCATTGATGATGATACTAACTGGGTACCACTGATTGTGTATCCTGGAAATTAAGAACAAAACAACAACCCAAAAGGAGTTGGCAACTTTAGAAGCTGGAATGTTTGCAATATTTGTTGCAGCTGGCTAGAAAGATATATGTTATATATAATTCAGAGTGGTCTCATACATTTATGGAGCAATGTTGGCTTTTCCCTCCAGAAGAATTAGTGATAGGAAAGAGATCAATGGAGGCCAATGTCACCTGTCTTCTCCCAGAAAAAAGGATAGCACTGAATGAGGGTACCTATGACCAGTCCTCATTCCAGGTGTTGCAGCATCCCTCTCATAGTCCAGATGCTCAACAATCAGCTCATAATTACAATGGTCGCAGTATTTGTGACTTTCCCAGCTTCTGACAATCAAGGTCAATGGAGAAGCCAGCGGGAAGTCAGAAATGATGATCATGTGACATCACACTTAATGACATTATGGCAGTCACTTAAGGCAGCAGCCAGAAATTCCCAAATTTCCTTCATTGTGGTATTGCCATGTCACGTTGCACTTTGCAACTGCATCTCTTAGTGATGGAAACTCTTGTCCCAAATTGCCACTATTAATCAAGGATTACTTGTACACCCAGAAATGTCCTGGGCAGGGGGGGGAGGTTCCTGGTCCCAATTGCCAAGCCCTATGTTACCTATTGAGAACTTCATCAAGTTTTGTTTCTGTTCCAATTGATCAGAGCTATGGTGGCATAGTGGTTAGAATGCAGTACTGCAAGCTAATTCTGCTGACTGCCGACTGTCAGTAGTTCAGCAGTTCAATATTCACTAGGTCGAGGTTGACTCAGCCTTCCATCCTTCTGAGGTCAGTAAAATGAGGACCCAGATTATTGGGGGCAATATGCTGACTCTGTAAACCACTTAGAGAGGGCTGTAAAGCACTGTGAAGCAGTATATAAATCTAAGTGCTATTGCTATCATTAGGAGGAAAGAAAAAGTCCTAATTGTTCTCCCTAATGTACAGTGAGATTGGCATAGAGAAGAGTAAATGCCAAAACAGCCATTTTAGCTATTACTTTTACTTCAAGTTGCACAATTAACATGTTACAGGGACAATAGTAATCTGAATCAAGTATCTGACAATCACCTTGTCTGAATACAGATGTAGCGCTTTTCTGGGAAGAGCAGTGGTGGCGCAATGGTTAGAAAGTAATATTGCAGGCTAACTCTGCATTCCACTGCCAGGAGTTCGATCCTGACTGGCTCAAGGTTGACTCAGCTTTCCCTCCTTCCAAGGTCAGTAAAATGATGACCCAGATTGTTGTGAGCAATATGCTGACTCTGTAAACCAGGGCTTTTCAACCAGTGGTACGGGTACCACCTGTGATACATTGGCACCTGGCAGGTGGTACGCGACCATCCTAGAAAAATGGTAGCGGGGGAGGGGAATGAGCTGAACCGGTGGCAGCACTGCACAAGCCTGAGCGAGAGATGGCTGGAGCTGCAGGGCTGTCAGGGCTCAGCAGAAGCGCCAGGATCAGTGCTGCTTTCCAGCTGATTGGCACTTTTTCGGGGCTGTCAGTGGAAGTGCCAGGATCAGCGCCAGGTTCCAGTTGGAGCTCGGTGCTGATCCTGGTGCTTCTGCTGAGCCCTGAAGAAGCACCAATCAGCTGGAAAGCAGCACTGATCCTGGCACTTTTGCTGAGCCCAGAAGAAGTGCCGATCAGCTGGAATGTTGCAGCATCTCCAAGGTCTTGTGATTTACATTCAGATGCTTGGTAACTGATTCATATTTATGATGGTCACAGTGTCCCAGGGTCATGTGAAGTGACCAAAACTTGCTGCAACCACCCAGCAGACGGGGGAAATAAAAACCAAACACCTCCACCCACCCCCGCTGCCAATATTTAACAGAAATGCTCACAACAATGAAAACCTCAGACAGGAGGAAGAGCGCCACTGGGTGGACAAGCAGATGTCTTGCTCGGCTGTGGCTTGGGGGGCACTTTTTTCAGTGCCATTGTAACTTCGAACAGTCACTAAGCGAACTGTTGTAAGTCGAGGACTACCTGTACTTTATCACTTTTTTCCTTTTTTGGCGGGGGGGTCATCACGTTTTTGACACCTTGCTAGGCGAATAGTGGTTCTCAGATATTGCCATATCCTAAAAGTGGTACAATGGGTGAAAAGGTTGAAAATCCCTGCTGTAAACCATAAACCACTTAAAGAGGGCTGTAAATCACTATGAAGTGGTATATAAGTCTAAGTGCTATTGCTATTAAAGCCTTGCCCCAAAATAGCCTGGCTGACAGCCACAGGCATGGAGGTGGGGCATAGGGTGAAGCAGGAAGAGAAACATTAAAAACTGAGCTTTGTCCTCAGCTTGTACTGAAAGGGAACAGCAGCATTGGCAGCAAGTGGCTGTGGTAGACACACCCAGAAGTACAGTAGCTGGTGGAGTAGGAAAATAGTGCTGCCTATTCAACCAGACAAAACAGCTTTATCTGCAGAAGTAATGAAAAACCTGTAATTGCACACATTATTAACCAAACCAATTACATGCAGTTAGGAATAATAGAATAACAGTATTGGAAGGGACCTTGGAGGTCTTCTAGTGCAACACCTTGCTCAAGCAGGAGACCCTATACCTGTTATCACTATTTGGTTTGGTGGTAGCAGTGCCTCAAATAGAAAGTCCATACAGAGAGTGGTAAGGACAGCTGAGAAGATTATAGGAAGATCGCTTCCCGTTACTCAGGATACTGCTTATAAGCACTATGTGCTTAGAGCTCGGAGCATTGTTAGAGACCCCACACACCCACTTCATGCTCTGTTCCTGTTGCTCCCCTCTGGGAGGAGGTTTCAAAGTATTTATAGCAGAACTACTAGATTCTGTAACAGCTTTGTTCCTTATGCCATCCATTTTCTAAATTTGCAGGATTCTTTTTTTCCCCGTCATGTATATTACATTCTAACTAGACTGTGATTTCTCTGTGTCATATATGTGTGTGTGTATAGGTATATGCATAATGGTATTTTCTGAGAGCTGAATGCAACGAAATTTCATTTTAGTGTATGCTGATTAGTGTAAATTTAAAGTGACAATAAAGATTCTGTTCTGTTCTGTTCTATTCCAGACTTTCAAAGTCTCTTCTTAAAATCCTCCAGTGATGGAGCATCCACAACCTCTCAAGGCAAGCCATTCCACTAGTTAATTGTTCTCACTGTTAGGAAATTTCTTTGACAGATCCTGGTTCTCCTTCCTGGTTAAGATCAAACACAGCACAGGTCTACCACTTTTAAGAGTCCCTTTTTTATGCAGATCTCATTCTCTCTTTAAATTCCTGTATGTAAGAAGCATGAATAATATCTAGAAAATGAAAGCAGTGTGAAGTCTCTCCTGGAACCAAAGGCAAAATGGGGACACTCATCAACCAGAGTGTAGAAGGAAGCCTTGAAACAGCAAAGTGACCAATTGAAACTGAGTAAAACCCAACCTTGACCGTATCCTCAACCAGGTTGTCAACCAAGCATACTAAATCACTTCTATGTCAAAAAGTATTTCAGAAGAGGAAGGGATATATTCTACATTCTGCAGACACATATGGTTATATCTTGACTGGAAAGAAAAGAGAAATAACTCCCAAATCTAATGGTTCAACAGCAGCAACTTTTTTAAGGATCAGACCTGCTGCTACAAAGCTGCCACTTTACTCTCTTCCTTTTCTCCTGACCTTCCTCAGTTGTCTCACTTGGCATAAAAAGAGCCAGACCTGAATTCTTTCACCACTGGGCACCCCATCTGGGAGATTCGTCTTGGGGTTCAGAAAGTTCCATTTCTTTTAATCTTTGGTTTAACCATAGAAGGCTAGAATGAAGAAGAGAGATTAAATAGCAGCTTATCTACTAACCACTAAGGAGTGGTTCATCAATCCTTTGAAAGAGGATTGTGGAATTGTTTGTTATTTTTCTCTGCAGACATTCCTCCACTCTTTATTAATTCTGCCCCATTTGTCCTGAAGAGCTTGTCTGTACTTTTGATGGAATATTTGCATTGTTGTTGTTGTTGTTGTTGTTGTTGTTGTTAGTTGAGAAGTTTTGTCTGACCCATCGTGACCCCATGGACAACATTCCTCCAGGCATTGTAAATATACAATTAATTCTTTTGGATTCCCTGTTCTTCCTCCTCAGCCTTTCCAACTTACATTTCTAGCCTGGAGCATTTCTACGTATCTATAATTCTCCCCAATAGCAGGAAAGATTAGCAAAATCTTCCTCCTTCCAAACCAGTAAGATTCTTCTTCTACAAATAGCTCTTGATCTGGAATTGAATGGGCTTGAGCACTTTTTAAATACACTGAAAACAAAGCATGCATTCACCTGGCAGCTGCTAAGTCAGCATTTTAGAACCAGCCTTGCTGGTATGTGGAATAAGAGTATGAAATGGGTACAGTGAATCATCTTGCTTACTTCAAAAACATGTACCCACTTGTTCAAATGTGCATTGGAATCAAAATATACTTATATACAGGGCTTTTTTTTGTCATAGAACGCCCAGAACGGAGTTCCGGCACCTTTTTTTTGGGATGCAACTTTGTAGAGTACGCAAAGCAGGTTGTATGACATGTGTGAATTCGGGCACCTTTTTTTTTTTTTTTTTTTTTTTTTTTTTTTTTACAAAAAAAGCACTGCTTATATACATGCAAATATGAACACACACAATTTTGATCTGGACTCATATCTAGTAATTATGAACAGGTGGGGAATTTGAACTTCTTGCTTCTGCTTTCATCTTTATCTATAATATGCATCCCTTGCCCACTGACCCAAAACTTTTATTCAAAAACCCCAGGGAAGGGGTTTTTATCAATTCAATAAAAAAAAACCTAGCAAACAAGTTGCCCTCAGGCAAAAATACCCAAATATAGGAACAAATGAAAATTAGAATTAATTTTAATAAATTAATTCAGTTCTATAAGTTCTATAAGATCACCTCAGATGGGGACTGCAGCCAAGAAATTAAAAGACGCTTGCTCCTGGGGAGGAAAGCTATGGCAAATCTAGACAGCATACTAAAAAACAGAGACATCACCCTGCCAACAAAAGTGCGTATAGTCAAGCCTATGGTTTTCCCAGTTGCAATGTATGGGTGTGAAAGTTGGACCATAAGAAAGGCTGAGCGACAAAGAATTGAGGCCTTTGAACTATGGTGCTGGAGAAGACTCCTGCGAGTCCCTTGGACTGCAAGGCGTTCAAACCAGTCAGTCCTAGAAGAGATCAACCCCAACTGCTCTTTAGAAGGCCAGATCCTGAAGTTGAAACTCAAATACTTTGGCCACCTAATGAGAAGGAAGGACTCACTGGAGAAGGGCCCAATGCTGGGAAAGATCGAGGGCAATAGAAGAAGGGGATGACAGAGAATGAGATGGCTGGATGGAGTCACTGAAGCAGTAGGCATGAACTTAAATGGACTCCAGAAGATGGTAGAGGACAGGAAGACCTGGAGGAACATTGTCCATGGGCTCGCGATGGGTCGGCCATGACTTCGCAATTAACAACAACAACAATAAGTTAATGATAATTTAATCATCAATCCTATGGATTTCAATGCAATTAATAACACAGTTCTGTACAGGGATGTGTAGAAGTAAATCTCATTAATATCTGTGATATTAGTTTCAGTAAGATTAGTTGGTGGTGAACTACATCTCAACCCAAGCCATTTTTTTCAGGGATAAATAAATGGTTTCCCTAATAAATTGTGATATCTGGAAAATAACAATGTGCACTTCTATGTCTTACATTCCCAAAAATTCTTAACTAAGGCACAGTATTAGAGAAAAAACTGATGCATAATCATTTTCACTAACATACTATCTTTCTATGGGATATGTCTTTATCTTGACATGGTAGTACATTCAGTCATGTGAACTCTCACATCCAGAACTTAATTACCATGCCTACAATTTGTGATAAACCTGATTTATTTTAAGTTTTATACAGCATCTTTGGCTGATAAATTTTGCAAGAATAAGGGGAGTTGTTGCTTTTTTCTTGGTAGCTGAAATAGAGAAGCAAGAGCATATAAATGAATGCAACATATTTAAAAAAGAAATCAATCTGAGTAAATGGCCAGGATCAAATAAACTTTCCATGAAGCTTCTTTTTTTTTCCTTTTTTTTTTTTTGCAAAAAGTGGGTATGGCTCAGTTCAGTTATGGAACATGACACGGAAGAATAAAAAACACCCCTAAACTGCACTAGTCACAGATACTCATTAACCTCTCACTGTTGAAGGCCAGAGCAGTCAATTCAATCAGAACTGAGGACCTCATAAAAGTCATGGGATCATTTGATCTAACTGAGAAATGAAAGGTCAACATGAAACCTGTTGAAATGGAAGGTAGCCTCACCTTTTCTGGATTAGAAGTTTTATAAACAAAACTATATAACAGAATCTTATAGCAAAAAAGGCAATTATTTTGTACACATGCTTATAAACCTAGATGCCCTTGCCTGAAATGTAGAGGGTGAAAGAGAAACCAAAGAGCTGGCTGTTCTCATTTTAAAACAAACTTCTTTTCAGTACGCAAGGCAAGCCAACCATTGAAAGGACAACTGGCAACCATTATACCAAGCATGCTGTGCCAGTCTGTTTGTGGAGATAAAAATCCTAGATCAAGAGCTTAGGGATTGTAACCCAAGAATGCTACCATCATCAATTTCTTCCTCAATCTTACCTTTTTCAATATATAGGCATAAATGTACCTTATTTCAGATCAAAGAAACCCACACTGCTCTGAAACCTTGGTTACACACCCTGGTGGAACAGGCTTTGCAAACAGTGAGACACCTCCATCGCCTGCTTTTGTTTCTCTCCCATGCCAAATAAAAATGCAAAAGGATAAGAATTTTAGACTTTGTTATGTCAATCTTCCTTAAAATATTCCTGGACCTACCTCTGGAAAAGAGCAAAGAAAGGCCATAGATATCCTTGTATTTTTCTTTCAACTGCTAGACCACAGTTCTGAGCTGGTTTGCAATCATCCTAATAATATATGTGCAAGTTCAAAGTGTTCCTAAAGAAATACTGCCTGATGTGGAAGAGATGGTCTGATCACTAGCTCTTACTCCATCTTCTTAGTCCTAAGAATAAAATTCAAGTATAGGAATTGCACTGTTGTAATCCGAGTCCCTTCTCAGGAGAAGGCCTATTCTGAGACATCCACTATAAATCAGCAACCTCCTTGCTTTAATTCAGAGAGACAGGATCTTATACACATACACATACTGAGAGTTTATGCACCGGATACAAATTCCTTGTTTGTCTAATCATTCTTGGCCAATAGAGAATATTCCAATACACAAACACACCTAGGGCCAACTTACTTACCCTGTGTTAGAGAAAGCACGATAAAGCAACAGAACACAGAGGTAGCTCTTCTCATACTGAAGCAGGACCCCTGCCTCAACTCCAAGGAAGAAGGTGGTTTTCAATCTGTAATGCTCCAGTTTTGCTTCAGTGAAAATCTAGGAGCCTGCAAAATAAATTTTTAACAAGGCAGCCACTTCCTGGAAGAATGTGATCCAACCTGTCTGCCCACCTGATCTGTTCCCTGCTGTGGCCTCCAATAGCCACACCTTACCGGCCTTCTGTCCCTTACTAGTCTGGTCAGTCTTTGGAGTCACACTCATCTAAGATTGAGCAAGTCCAGTTTCAACAATTATGTATCATTTCTCAGAACAAGGTGCTGTTTCCAAGGAGGCAAGAAAAAATAAACTAGTATTAGTCTGGATGCAGAAATATGATGCCTGCATTATCAATCTTCCCCTATCAGGTGCTCTCAGATGCCAGACAAGAAAAGGCATAGAATGGTGGTATATGATGTTTGCAGTGCCATTCAGTTTGCAATTAATGGAAAAATTTGTATAACTACCACAAACAATGAATACGTTTGTTTTATATTTGTCTAGTTCATAATGGGGAATTTACTTTTCTTCAGCAGCACTACCAGAATAGAGCAGATTTCAGCAGTTATTCCAGTTTACTTTCTCAGTTCAACAGTTTATTTTCTGAGAATTACCCAAGGAGGCATTTGCTCTATTTTTAATGTCTACATTTTTTTCCTACTCAGATTCCAAAGCCACTAATGTGTCACATTCTAAGGTAATTAGAATGGCTGCATTTACATCATCAAGTTTGACTTCCACTGCAGAAATCAGAAGAATGTTGGGGATATATAGAGCAAAGGAAGTTCTCAAAAGAAATATGAATAACAAAAAGAAACCCAATGAAAGTATGATATGGTAAATTAATTGAAGAAATTCATTACCCCTTCCTACAAATTCTGTCCCCTTGTTCAGCATTCCCAATCTTGTATTCTCTAAAGGCACTGGAAACTCCCACAATTCACAGCTGTGCTCCAATACATTTGGAGGCACCAGGCTGGATAAGGGTGCCCCAATTGCCACATGCCTTTCAATGAGATGCAGAATTCCCAAGCACTCATGAGCTGTGTCCTCCTACCATAAAGTACAGATAAATCAACAAATAAAAATGGCAATGTGCCCTGTCAGTTGCAGTACTGCAATATTCAAATTTTAAGCATTTAATTTTTAAAAAATCTCTCAAATCTCATGAGATTTCATTCTTATATGAAATCCTACATGTAAAAGATTACTAAAATTACATGTAAAGATTACTAAAATCTTAGGTAACTTGGTAACTTTATGAGATTTCTGATGGTTTTGATCTATTATTATTATTATTATTATTATTATTATGGTTGGTTGTACAATTGGCCTGATGTTTAATTGGATTTGGCATATTTTTCCACTTGTTGAGTCCTTCCCAAGGATCTGGGATAGGCAGATGTTCTTGTTTGAATTATTATTAGTAGTATTAGTATTTCCATTTCATTTGTACATTCCATTTCATTGTTCAGAGCAGACTCCAGAGCCAATGCATTGGAAGGTTTTTGTATAAATGGCATGATTAGACTTGGACTGAGTAGAAGCTGGGAGCTGCCACCTCATTAAAGGAATTCATGATCTTACTGTTGAGGTTACAGTAACTTGTTTTGCATCTGCCAGTTGATCATAGCTGGGTTTTTTATCCTTTCACAGTACTGGATTTAATTTGCAGCCAGATTCTGTATAGTAATTAGCTGTTTTGCAGCTCAAAGGTGATAAACATATGAATGGGACCATATCCACATTTATTTATGCATGTGTATGGAAGTTTGTTTGTTTGTTTGTGTGTGTGTGTGTGTGTGTGTGTGTGTGTGATTTTATTAAAACTTTAAGCCAGAAGATAACGTTAACACAAACTAATAGAAAATAAGAAAGGAATTAGAGAAAATGCAAGAGATGTAAGAAAAGGAGAAAAGGTTAAAGAAAAATGGGAAAAAAAGGAAAAAAGTAAAAAGCTTCTGGTATTTTTCACAGCAGTGAAAAATACAGCAGTTATAAATTCAAATATATATTTAACCTCTCTACTTATATTACCTTTTTTTCTACAATCTATCCCATCTAATCATCATCAGAGACTGGACAGCCATCTGTCCGAAATGGTGTAGGATTTCCTGCCTGAGCAGGAGGTTGGACTCGATGACCTCCAAGGTCCCTTCCAACTTTATTATTATTATTATTATTATTATTATTATTATTATTATTATTATTATTATTATTATTATTATTATTATTATTATTATTATTATTATTATTTTCCTAGCGTTATTCCCGCAGGTGCAGGGTCTGCCTTTCAGGTTGACGAACACCATCTTGCACAATCAAACGCAGGATCTGGGCCCAACTGGGCAATTTGCATGTCTGCATTTATTGTGTCTTGCCATCTTTACTTCGGTCTTCAATTGGAAGCTTGCAATCTGTGTTAAAGTGGAAAGAAAGGTAGGCAATGGTGTGTAGGAAATGGTGCTGCTCGTTGGACATAGCCATATCACTGTAGGTGTTTCTTCCACATTTTCTCAAGTATTGGCCAGTCCAAAAGCTTGGATGACTAAATCTCTGGTCCCAGTGACCAACCCAGATTGAATCCTACAACATTATCCTATGACATGTATATTTGCTTCCGTATTGGCACAATGCCCATTTGCTGCCATAGTGTGTCATTGCTGACATGGTCAAGAACAGAAACACCTAATGACCAACAAAATATGTGAATCTATCCTGCCAATCTTCACACTTCACAACGAAGTCCCAACAGTTGGGTTTTTTTCCCCATTTTTGGGCATATCCACATTTCCATATGTATATATATAAATGCATTTGTAATCCACTTCATTTTATGGGATTGTCACATTTATGTAATAACAAGAACATGATTCTTCAGCAGGGCACTGTTTCCTACCTTTCCTACTGTTTTCAACATATAAATGTCCTTTGTATGTCAGTGGCAGCTAATTGATAAGAGATTTCTACATTTAGTTCAAGCGTCAACCACAATCATTTCCAGTCCTAATCATGCAATGTTTAAGGAACATTTGGGTGTTCCTTTGACTGAATTGCCTTCTTTGCATGGCTAAATTTTAGCTCAGACTTTAGGTAGAAACAACAAAGTCTGTTGTTTTCTGAGCAGTCCAAACAACTGATATAAGTTATACAAATTTACATTGCCAAGATGACCAAATTAACTGCTTGAATCATTGAAATCAATGAAAAGAATACATCTAGTTTTGTTTGTATTTGAAAACACTTCTAGAGTTTGTGCTCAAGACAGACAAAAATAAAAGTTTAACTTAGGATTTGCTGATTAGATAAGTCTATTGTTATAGAAATGGCTTATATATTAAGTATGTAAAAGTGAAAAGCTGAGACTGTACAGTACTATCTTTTCTCTTGCATTGAAAAAAATTGGAAGTTAATACTTTTTCCCCTACTTACACTTTTCTTTTCTCCTTTTCCCTTCCCCATCTCCTTCCTATTTTTATTTTCATTTTTATTTTATATTATGAAATGCAATTTAAAAAATGATGTAAAAAAAGAGAGAGAAACACTGAGATAGAATATACTCTTCCGCACCACTATTCTGGCTCACTCAAGAACAGATAAAGGCACTTTACTTCCCCCAGATCTTTAAATGATGTATTAATTCTGCTGTGGTATTTTTTAATATTATACTACTTTTTTATTCTCTGTTATGTTTCTTCCTATTTATTTTATTATTTTATCTCATAAGTTTTATACAGTATGGTGGTATATGCTTTCATTGATGCTTTTAATTTTCCATTTGAATTGTTTGAAATTGGTTGTTTAAGACAGGGGTTCCCAACCTCTGGTCCATGGACCAGTACCAGGCTGCAGCATACCAGCAACCGTTCTGCACAAAAAAGCAAAGCCCTATCCGTGGGATGCAGGCAGCACACAAAACCACGCCCCCTCTGGTCTGTGGAAAAACCTCTCTCCACGGAACCGGTCCCTGGTGCCCAAAAGGTTGGGGACCCCTGGTTTAAGAAATAAAAAATAAAACAGATTGTAGAACCTCGTACCTTTAAGCATCCTCTCTGCTTTTGAGGTACCCAGCATGCAGTATATCACATTGGCATGGTTTAAATTATGAAGGGAGCTTTCACTTAGCACATTTTTCAAGTAGTTGTTGCATGTGACATTGTCTCAGAGTAGCATTTGTGATTCCTGATGGGAAGGTGAAAATGGCATGATTTTTGTTAAAGAGCAATCGGAGAGCATCTCACTCATGTAGAGGCAGGAGCATATTGGCTGGGGGATTCTGAGAGTTGAACTCCATGCATCCTAAAGGTGTTAAAGTTGAGAAACCCTGCTCCAGAAGGCCAATTAGAAGCCGGTACCTACATAGGAGTCCTCATTAGCTAAATGTCCAATCAGAGTTCTGGGCAGGATCTCTCCATATTCACATACATATAGACACAGAATTAAGGAATATTCAGATAATACAATTTCCTTTCAGGTTTACCAATTTAATCCCCAAAGTGATTTGAAATCAAACACTTCCAAATATATTATTTTTTAAAAAAAACTCTGAGTTAAGTCCTGAGTTAAGTTCCTGAATCAGTTCTGAACTCAGTTCAATATTCCCAAAATCTGGATTGGACTTTGTTAAGGTTTTTTTTTGTTTTTTGTTTTTGGTAATGATTCACAGTCAAATTAGATTAAGGTAAATCTGAATATTCTACAATGTATACAAAATGCATATAAACAAAATGTAGTTCCAGTAGGAAGTACCAACAGTGACCCTAGAAATCTGTTGAAAACCTCCAGAAAGTTCCAAAAAAATCTAGATCTTAGCCTCAGTGAAAAAAAGAGACTCCCCACATTTATTGCCAGTGAATCCAACAGTTATCAATCTCACCCATGACATATAGTACTTAACTAATCTTGAAAGTGCTCAACCACCTTTACTCTGGTACATGTCATGCCCTCCCCTTGAAGGCTGATATAGGAAAATTCTCCACAGGGAGAGACAATGCATCTGTGACTCTGAACAAAAGAAATATCAGACTCCTCCAGTGCTTGTATTACCAACACATTCTCCTAGCCTCATCTCACCATTATTGCATAAATACACAGTTTGCACGAGTGGCCTGC